ACCAAAATTAATTTTTGGTTATATGATAAAAGTCGGTCCAGTTATAAAAAATAATGACGGAAATATTAGTTTTATTTATATCACACAGATAAATAAATACTTTTCATCAAGTTATAGCAAGTATAATTGTACTCTAATAGCTGAAGATCGTATTATTTTTTTTTTTTATAATACCGATACTTTATACACCTAATATCTTGAGAATAAGAAGTTCGTACTATAAATTTTTCTACTATAACATGAATGTGTATTATATATGCTTTAATATGCGTAAATAGGAGTAACGAGTAAAATTAAAACTGTATTAATTCGCTTAATGATGATTTAAGAACTACATCAGGAAATTGTTGATTAAGTGCTTGAATAAGCTCTATTAGTTCTTGGCGTGTTTGATCCTTAAGTTGATCTTCAGGCGGGGAAAGAACTTTCGCAAATATATTCAGTAACTCGAGAATATGATTAAAGACCTGTAAATCATTTAAATTGTTTTAAAATATACCGTATTTGTTAATAATCATTATCACTTACAAATGAATTATTGGCTCGGAAAAGCATGATTATGCATTTAAAAACGGGCTCGTTTTCTTCAAAATCTCGTTTTAATGGTAACATTCGCAATACTACTTCTAACACCTTAAAAATTATTATTATTAATGATTTTTAAGCGTATATATCAGACAATAAATAACAAACTTACCTGTTCCATTGGAATTGCTTGAGGACAAGCCATAATCATTCTACATACTGCTCCACATGCATTATCAGTGACATTCATTAATGATTGTCCTGTAAATAAAGGATGCAAACTAGAAAGTATATCTCCATATTTACTATGAATTAAACGTAACGTGCGAGTATTAAATAAATAACGTTTTTTTTTCTTTTTATATAAAAAAAGATAATATTAATCGATTATTCACCTACTAATGTCTACACGTGTATGTTGACAAAGAAGCCCAACTGCAAAAGCAGCGTTGCTTCGAACTTCATCATCTTCATCAGCCAAAGCTTTTAGATA